CCATGCCCAGCCCCGACGCGCCCATCACCGTTGGCGTTCTTTTCTACTGCCGCACCGGATGCACCTTCCGCCTGGTGCAGCACCTGTGCGCCGGGATCAATGCCATCCCCGGGGTTCGGGCCCTGCCTGCCCTGGTGTCCGACTCGCGGCGCCTGAAGGAGGAGTACCTGGCACACCAGGACGCCATCATGGCTGCGATCGAGCGGGACCTCGTCGCGTCCGGGGAATTCGCCTATCCCGGAGCCGAGGTCATCCCCTGGAAGTCCATCCCCCTGGTGGATCTGAACTTCCTGTCGCAGGTGGATGCCCTGCTGGTGGGTGGCCCGGTATACGCGGGATCGCTGGCGGCCCCGGTCCACGGCTTCTGGGATTTGCTTGCCCACTCGAACCCCCGCGGCGCGCTGGCCGGCAAGCTGGCGGCCCCCTTCGCCACGGTCAGCTCGGCCCTCGACGGCGGAGAGTCCGCTTGCCTGGACCTCTTCTCCGTGCTGTCTTCCTTTGTGCGTCTGGCCTTCCCGGTCCCTCCCTCCTAGGAGCCATGTGTCTAACACTTGCCGTTCTCTCTCTCTCTCTCCCCCTCTATTTCCTCCCCCCATCTGGATATGATGTCTCCCCGGCCACACACAGGGCATGACCGTCGTGACCCTCGGGTATCTGGACCCGGCCATGTCCTCTGGCAGCACTCTCTCCACGGTCAGCGCCCTGGTGGCGCAGGTTGGGCAGCGTGTCGACCAGCGTGTTTTCTTCCGCGACCTCTCGGTCTCCTGGCAACTGGACGAGTTCACCCAGCGCACGCGCTTGTCCGCCGAGGATGCTCGCGTCGCCTTCAAGACCGGCCAGCTCATGGCCGGCACGGCCAAGCTTTCCCGCCTGGGTGCCAGCGCCTGATCTCCCTGTCCACATGATACCAAGCAACCTGATACACAACCAGAACCAGAACCGATCTGATGCCGAGTCTGGTGGCCAGGCGAGGGCCCACCCAGGCGCGCGGGGGGGGGGGGGGGGGGGGGGGGGGGGCGGAGGGGGTGAAAATGCGTCCTGTGCATGGGCGCCAGTGCGCGCTGGCTCACCCGACCAGGGGTGGGGGGGATGTTCATTTTCGTTCGGTCAGGGCGGCATCCCGCCCCCGGGCGGGCGGGCTGGGGGGGGGGGCGGGGGGGGGGCAGACAGCTGGCTCCTTTCTTTTCGTCTGGGTGGCCGCATAAGTTGGGACCAACTTGGAACGTAAGCCGGCGCGTGCCTGTGTATTTTCTCGCTCTCGCTCTCCTTCTTTCTCCCTGGCTGTCTCTGGGAGCATGGAGCAACAACCGAGGCCGGGCCCGGGCGCCGAGCGGACTGGCAGGCGGCAGCGCCCTCACCGGTTTGCCCGGTGTGCCGGCCGGGGGGAGGGGGGGGGGGTCAGGCATTCGTTCTCCTGGTTGCCGCAATCGACCCCGCTCATTTCGCGGAGCTCGGGTCTCATATGGCTGATTTGTCCGGGCCCCGGCCCCTGTCCTCTTTCGCGCCCCCGGGGCAGGGCGCCGGCGCGCGGACGAGGCACCCGAGGGCGCCTTTCTTGCGTAAGGAGAGGGCCCGGCAGCGCGAGCAACGGGGGCGATGCGGGGCCGGCTCTATTCGCCGGGCGGCGCGTGTGACTGCCGGCGTGTGCCGCGCCCCGGTGTGCGGCCTCCATGTCCCCCCGCCCCCCGGCCCGGAGGCCAGGGTTGCGAGGATGTCGCCTGGCCCGGGGCTGCCCGGGTGCGCGCGGCATCACAACCGGGGAACCCCTCAGGTCACCGGGGGGCATTCCTCCGCTCGCCGGGCGGGGGAGCCGGCGGCCCAGAGGGGGCGGGCGCGGCGCAGTAGTGGGGCGCGGGCGGAGAAACGGCTCTGCCCGCGGCGCGCCGCCCTAGGGGGGGGGGGGTGCGGCGAGCCCGATCGCCCGCACCTGTGCCCGTAGCCAGCCAATCCCCCTGCAGAGCGAACGGCATCGCAGACCTTCGGCCGATGGAATGCTCGGAGGTCATTCACCAGCCGCAAGTATGTGCCCTCGGTCGTGGTATTCGGGGAAGGCAGCGCCTCTTAGCTGGCTGACGCCAGGCAGCGGGGCGCCGCGGGCGGAGGCTCCTCGCCCGGCATGCGCATGCGAGCGATTGGCGTGCGCGTGTGTGCTGGCTGTGGTGTACGGGGCGTGGGGGCCGTGTGTGTGTGTGTGTGTGTGTGTATGTGAGTGTATGCCAGCCCGCGGGCGCCGAAGAAAATGCTGCGGCCGAGGTCCCAAGAGTTGGCAACATCAGTCCGCGGCCTGGTGTGTGTGTGTGTGTATGTGTGTGTGTGTGTGACACCAACCACAGCACCAGCACCGGTGGCGGCATTTCTTCGCGCCGGAGTCGGGCCAGCGGGCAGAGGGCAAACGGGCGCGTTCCCTGCCCTCGCCCTGCCCTCCACCCCACGGCCTGAGCGGCCCGGGGTGCCAGGAAGCCCGGGTACAACTGCCAGGATGAGTTCTATCCCGGCCCCCCGCGCCGGCCGGTTCCGTGACCCTGCTGTTGTGGCGGTGTCCTTTTGTGCGGGGAGCCCGTGGCTGGGTCTGCGGTGCGGAAAGTTCGATGCCCGCAAGTTGACCTGGCGTTGAGGCGGGGGATCGGGGTCCCGGCGGGAGAGCGGATCAGAGGGGCGGCGGGGCCTGTTTTTTTTTGTCGCCGCGGGCGTGTCCGCATGTGCTACGCGCGCGCGCGCGCGCGCGTGTGTGTGTCTGCTCATGGCGATGTGTATGGGTGGCCGGCACGCACACGGGCATATGTCCGGGATGCATGGGGTGCGCGTGTTTGCCGCCCCTCGGGGGTGCCGCGCAGCCCGCGGTCCCCCGGGACCGGGCATTTTTGGCCAACCGCCGTGTCACCGCCGTCGTCCCCGGATTGCTCGTCACCCATGCTTTCCCCCTTCCCTTCAGGTTGGACTTGCCCCCTCCCCCCCCCCCCCGCCCGCCTCTCCTTCATCACCCCTCCCCTCCTCCCCCCCCCCCCTCCCGCCCCCCAGCGATCCCCTCCTGGCACAAATCCCCCTGTCCATGCGCTGGTTGACATGAGCCAGGGTGTACGTGAGCGCGTCCTCGCACATCCCCTTTCGGTGGTCCTCCTGCCCTGTCAAACGCCCGCCCACCTCTGACCGATTGCATCCCCCCCCCCACCCACCTCGCTCCCAGTCCATTACCGTCTACCTGCCTGATGGTACGACGCGGACCACATCCGCGTCCAATTCCAGCACCGTCAAGGATCTCCTCCGCCCGCTGCTGCAGAAGACGCAGTTCGCCTCCTCCGACGAGCATGTCTTCGTCGTGACCAGTCGCTCCGACCCGGAGGGTATGTGCTCCTTCGGTTCCGCCTCCCGACCTGCCTGCCTTGCACCCGACTCACCCCCGGCCCCTCGCCCTGCCCTGCCGCCAGGCAAGCGCCTCCAGGATGACGACCGCCCGCTGATGCTGCAGCACTCCTGGGGCACCGGCAACCCCAGTCGCTCGCGCATTCGCCTGGTCAACCCCCGGGACTATGTGCGGGTCCTGATCCGCGGCATCCCCGAGGCCGGGCCCGACGACACGCCGTACGGCATCTACTCGTCGCTCAACCAGTCGGCCGAGGTCCTGTGTGATCTGGTGGCCAGTGATCTGGGTCTGGCCAAGCGCCGGAAGTATGTCCTGCTGGATGTCTTCGGCGGCATGGAGGAGCGCCAGCTCCAGCGCGACCAGAAGCCCCTGTCCATTGCCCTGTCTCTGTCGGAGAAGCTCGGCCTCGGTGCCTCGGAGTTCCACTTTGTCTTCACCGTTTCCCAGAGCAGCTGGATCTCCAAGTCCCTGGGGCGCCTGGTCGGCACGAACACCGCCAACCCGGCCCCGAGCAACCTGGACGTCGGGTCCCCCACTATCCAGGTGGGCGCGCCCACCCTTCCGGTCGAGTCGCCGACCACCACGGCCCTGGCGGCCATGACCGGTGTCCCGGCCGGCATCGACCTGAATGCCGCCATGCCGGAGCTCTCCGAGCTGGACCAGCAGTTCCTGCGCCTGCTTGTGCGTGTGCCCCCCCCTTGCGCGGACATGGATGGCTCGCCACCCGCCGGGCCACGGGCCGCGGCCCATGTCCGCCCCTTCTCTCGGGTCCCGCGGCCTTCGGCCCGTCTCGCCCCCCCCCCCTCCCTCTGACCCGCCATTGTCCTTCCCCCTTTCCCTCCTTCGCCTCCCCAGGATGAGATCAACATCGTCGATCCGAAGCTCCGCGAGCACATGATGTCCCAGGAGCCCCGGCGCAAGTGGGTCATCATCATGCAAAATCGCCCGGAGTGGACGGCCCGCGATCGGGGCATCACGTCCGGCGCCTCGGCCCCCGGGCTGCCATCCGGCCCGCAGGCCGGCGCCGCGCCGGCCGCCACTCGCATCGACCGCGACAAGAGCCCCACGCACTACATCGACATGCTGGGCAATCGGTACGAAGCACCACGTTTTTCCCCCTGCTCTTGGCATCTTCCCCGATTGCACCCTCCTCACTCTCGTGGGTTTGCCGCCGCCGCCCCCCCCCCTCCCCTCTCGCCCCTCCCTTGGCTTTCAGCAACATTCAGCTCCGCGAGATCGCCAGTCTGCGTGTGCAGCTGAACTGCGCCACGGCCACGTGGATGAGCGAATTCCTGGAGCTCAATGGTATCGGCAGCCTGGAGTCGCTGATGGAGCGCATCCAGAAGCGCATCATCGCCCAGTCTTCGGCCGCTGGGCGCCGGGTTTGCTCGGAGACCGACTCCGATCTGCAGCTGGAGGGCCTGCGCTGTGTGCGCACCCTGATGAACATCGACTCGGCCCGGTCGGACATCCTCAACCGGCCGGCCGTGGTGCTGGCGATTGCCACCTGTCTGGATGCGGAGAACGAGCGCCTGGCCATCCTGGCCTGCGAGCTGCTGGCCGGTATTTGCATGTTGCCTGCCGCCTCGGCCGAGGCGGATGCCCTCTCCGGGCATGCGTTGGTTCTTGATGCGCTGACCGAGCTCCCGTCGCGCATTGGCGAGCCCTACCGTTTCCAGCGTCTGGTCGAGATCGTCGGGTCTTCGCGCCAGGAGTCCAATGAGCTGCGCACCATCGCCATGAGCCTGATCAATGGTGCGTGCCCTCCCTTTGTCCCTCCCTCCCTCTCTCTTCCCTCGCTCTCATCCTGCTTCTTTTGCACGTTTCTGTGGGGCTTCCCCCCCCCCCCCTGCCTCCCCTGCCTCCCCCCCTCCCATACTGACTTCCTCCTCGGGACCTTCCTTTGCTCGACCTCCCCCTGTCCGCCTGCTGTGCCCTTCGCCATCCGATAGCCGTTGTCAACTGCCCGACCGAGCTGGCGCAGCGCCTGCGCCTGCGCGATGAGCTCTCCCGTCGTGGGCTGATGAATGTCCTGCGCATTGCCCAGCTGGATGCCACGTCGGACCTGCGCCAGCAGATCCTCCTCTACATGGAGGAGAGCGAGTCCGACCAGCTGGACGGCGTGACCAATGGCATCAGCGCCTCCTCGCTCAATGACACCGCCGGCAAGACCAGCGAGTCCATGAACACCACCCTGTCGGCGGCGCAGGAGCTCTGCCAGCTGGGCCGGTCGAACCCAAGCATCGAGGTGCACCTGCTGACCATCCTCCGCACCCTGACCACCCTGGCCAAGCAGACCCCCCAGACGACGGCGACTCTGGGCAGTGCGGCAGCCAGCGCGGCGGTCCTGGCCAACAAGGCCATGGCCCAGTCGGCTGCCTCGCTGTCCTGGTCCATCCTGGAGCTCCTGTCGCAGTACCTGTCGCAGCAGTCCCCCGACACCAATCTCGCGGCACCGGATGCCTGGTACAAGTTGTGGTCGTCCTTCCTCAACATCACCGAGGCGGTCTTGCGCATTCCCATCCCGGAGACCATGCGCCCGGATTACCGGCAGAAGGTGGAGAAGTCCGCCGTGGAGGCCATCGCCGCGCTGGATGCCGCCAACAACCAGATCTCCCGCCTGAACAGCGCCATCGAGAGCTTCGACAATGAGCTGGCCTCGCGCGACAGTGAGCTGGCCATTCGCAACCAGGATCTGGCCCTGCGCACGCATGAGCTTGCGATGCGCGACCAGGAGATCATCAACCGCGACCAGGAGATCGCTCGCCTTCAGGGCGTCGTGGAGGCTCAGGCGGTCGAGATCGCCGCCAAGCCGGTGGCCACTGTTGCCGCTCCTGCGGTGGCGGCGGGCCCCTGCGCCAAGTGTGCCGAGGGTGTCCCGGTGCCCGCGGCGCCGGCCCCCATCTACATCCTGCAGCCGGGCATGGATGTCCCTGCCGGGGCCAATGTCGTCTCCCTGCCGCCGGGTGTGGAGCTCCCCACCCGGACCGTGGTGGTGGCCGCCGCCGATGTGCCCGCCGCTGGTGCTGGCGCCGGCGCTGTCGGGGCCGGCAGCAGCGGGTCCATTGCCTCCTCGGGCGGCATGTCGGCCTCGCAGCTGCCCCCGCCGCCGGGGGCCTCCCCTACCACCAGCCGCTTGAGTGTGGCCACTGATGGCTCGCTGCCATCGCCGATTGGTGGCTCTGGCTCGCCGCTGCCCCCGGCTTCGCCGTCGGCTGCGGGCGCCGGTGGCCCGCCGCCGTGCCCGCCGCCTCCGGGTTCGGCCGGTGGCCCGCCGCCGCCGCCCCCTCTGCCGGGCATGGGTGGCCCGCCGCCGCCTCCCCCGCCTCCGGGTGGTCCTGGTGGCCCGCCGCCGCCGCCGCCGCCTCCGGGCATGGGTGCTGGTACGTGGTTCCCCTCTTCCTCCTCGCTGCTCTGTTCTCTCTCTCTCTCTCTCTCTCTTTTCCTCTGCTCTGCTCTGCTCTCTTTTCTTCTCCTCTCTTTTGCTCTCTTTTCTTCTCCTCTCTTTTGCTCTCTTTTCTTCTCCTCTCTTTTTCTCTCTTTTGCTCTCCCCTCCTCTCCCCTCCTCTCCCCTCCCCTCCTGACCATCATGCCCCCCCCCCCCTGCTCAGGCCCCGCTCTGCCGCCCAAGCGCACCATCAAGCCGAATGTCCCCATGCGCCAGATGAACTGGGCCAAGCTGCCTGCCAACAAGATCAAGGATTCCATCTGGAGCGACATCAACGACGAGAAGGTGTCGGTGGATATCAATGTCCTGGAGAGCTTCTTCCAGCGTGACGCGCCCGCCGCCTCGACCAAGACCCGCCTACAGGGGCTGGACGATGTGGCCGACGCGCCGACCAAGCCCAACTCGATCACCCTGATCGACTTCAACCGGGCCAACAACCTGGCCATTTTGCTGTCGCGCTTCAAGATGTCCAACTTCGACATCAAGACCGCGGTCTTGAAGATGGACGAGGAGAAGCTCTCGATCGAGCAGCTGCGCGCCCTGCGGCAGTTCACCCCGACCACCGAGGAGGTGGCCCTCGTGCGCGAGTACGACGGCGATCTGGCCCTGCTGGGCCCGGCCGAGCGGTACTTCCGTGAGATGATCTCCATTTCCAATTTGGAGACCCGCCTAGATGCCATGATCCTCAAGCGCCAGTTCGACAAGCTGATGCTGGACCTCACCCCGGAGGTGGAGTCCATCAACAAGGCCAACAACGAGCTGCTCAAGTCCAAGGTCTTCAAGGAGCTGCTGCAGCATGTGCTGGCCATCGGCAACTACATGAACGGCTCGTCCTTCCGTGGTGGCGCCTACGGTTTCCGCATTGACAGTATCATCAAGGTGCGTGTGTCCGTCGTCCTGGCCAGCAGAGTGCAGCGCCCGGGTTTTTTTTTTTCTTTTTCTGCTGCATGTGGCTGGGCGCCCTCCTCCGGCCCCCGGCCTCCGCCTTCCGCGCCCCTGTCCCCTGTTTCTTTCCGGTTCTCCTTCTCTGACCCTGCTCCCTGATTTCCCTCTGTCCCTCTCTGTCTGTTTTTTTTCTGTTTTTTCTCCCCCCCCCCTCCCCCTGCCTCCCTTTGCCTGTTTGTTTTGCTCTTTCTCTCCCCCCTCTCGCCTCCCTTTGCTTGTTTGTTTTTGTCCTTTCTCTTCCCCTCTCGCCTCTCTTTGCCAAACCCCAGTTCGCCGAGACCAAGGCCACTCCGAACGCCCCGTTCCCCACGCTGCTGCACTACCTGGCGCACTACTTCGACAAGATCGACGAGTCCTTCGTGGACTTCTCCGACACCATGCCCAACCTGGAGCCCGCGTCGCAGACCTCCCTGTCGGGCCTGCAAGCGCAGGTGGCCGAGCTTCGCCAGAACATCAGCCGCGTGGAAAAGATGCTGGAGCAGATGTCCCGCGTGTCCATGGTTGCCGGCGGCGGGTCGGACGACGCCTTTGCCAGTGTCATGTCGGCCTTCATTCGCAGCGCCAGCCCTCAGGTGGCCGAGCTGACCCGCCTGCTGGAGGAGTCGGCTGCCGGGTTTAAGAATGTGCTGAAGAAGTTCGCCGAGGAGGAGCTCAACCAGCCGGAGGACTTCTTCCGGGTGATTGTCAGCTTCTCGCAGGCCCTGCGCCGCGCCCGCAAGGAGAACCAGGAGCAGGAGGCGCAGAAGGAGGCGGATGCCCGCCGCGCGGCCAATGCCGCCAATGCCCTGGCCGCATCGGCCATTGCCCGCCGGAACAAGGCCGCTGGTTCGGCCGAGGGGGGTGCCGGTGCGTCGGCCGGCTTGCCGGCTGTCGGGGGCTTGGCCCCGCCGCCGCCACTGGGCCCGGGCGGCTTGAAGCCCCTGGCTCCGATGTCCCTGTCTGGCGTTCGTGCCGGGGCCAGCCCGGCCTCGCCGGGCCTGGTGCCCAATGCCTCCGGGTCGGATGCCGTGGGCGGCTCGGCCAGCAAGGACTCCGAGTTCGACAACATGCTGCGCGGCCTGCGCGGCGGTGGCTCGGCCTTCCGCCGCCATCGCCAGTCGGTCATGATCCCGCAGTCGCCGCAGACGCCGCAGGCGCCGCAGACGTAGTGTCTCCCTGTTGGGGGGGGGGGGGGCTTGGTGTCCCGCTTTTCGGGCCCCTCCCTCTCTCCCTCTCTCTCTCTCTCTCTCTGTGCCTTTCTGTGTGTCCCCTCCGGCTCTCCTCTCCGTGTTTGCCTTTGGCCCCTCTTCCTCATCTCTTTCCCTCTGCACAGACACACATACGCATACAATATACAACACCTCAAACAACAAGTTGCGCCTGGCGTGCCGGGGAGGAGGAGAGGCCCGCTCGCGGCGTGCGCGTCTATTTTTCTTCGCGACCAGCGGGCTCCTATTTCGGGGAGGACCGCCGCCGGCGGCGGTGGCGCCGAGAGGCGGATGGTGACCGGGATCGGGTCCGAGATCGACCCCGAGCGCGGGACGATCGCTCGCGCGATCGACGTCGTGAGGTCCGGCCTGAGGAGGATCGCCGGGAGGATCGAGCGCGGGTCCGGCGTCGGGCACGCTCCGGCGAGGAGTCTGAGCTACTGCCATCGTCGGACAGTGACGATGATGTCCAGCCGGCCGCCTCGGCTGGGTGCCCCGGCCGCCAGCAGGCAGGCAGACAGGCAGACATGGGCGAGGGGGGGGGGGGGGGGTCATGGTGTGAGGTGCACATGTCACAGGAGGGCGCCAAGCAAACGGGCGGGGCGGAGAGGCTTGCTTCCGTACCTCGCAACAGATCGAAGGCCTGCGGACTGAGGATGAAGGGCCCAAGATCGACGGTGGACTGACGGGTGTCCGGGAGCCGGGGAAAGGGCACGGCGCCCGGGGGCGGCGATCCGGGCCTCTCATCTGAAGGTGGCCTCTCGTCGGAGGTGTCAGCCGAATCATCCTCATCGTCGGCCAGCAGGCTGGCCGCCTTCTCGGCGATGTGTCGCTCGAGGACGCTATCATAGTACAGCTTGGCGTTCGGGTGATTCGGCTGTAGCTGGAGCACGCGCTCAAAGTCGTCCAGCGCTCGTGCAAGGTGGCGGGTATTGGCCAGAGCCGCCCCGCGCGCAACGAGACAGTCCAGGTGTTCGGGATCCAGGTCGAGGGCCGAGTTGTAGCTATTGATGGCCTTGTCGAAGTGGCCGGCACGGGCCTGCTCGATGCCGGCCACCGTGCTGTTGGGTGCGCGCGCGCGTGTGTATGTGTGTGTGTGTGGGGGGGGGGGGGGGGGAGGGGGCGACAAAATGAGAAGGGTGCACTGGCAGCGAGGGCCGAGGCCGAAACAAGACGCACAGCTCGCTGGCCCAGCGCTTCAAGGGCAGGTTATGGCCATGCTGGCGGTCGGCCTGCTGACCGGCGGTGACCGCGCCGGCGAACACATCCGGCACACTTTGGCGGAGGCGCGGGCAATGGGTCCAGGGTCAGGGGATGCGCATTTTCTTCTTGGCAGGGGCCACACAGGAAGGGCGGCAGGGGAGGGAGGGGGGGAGGGAGGGGGGGGGGAGGAGCCGGGCCCGGAAGAAATCCGGCTCGACCGAGGGGACGGGCGAGGAGGAGCGAAATATACCTGCTGTTGGAGAAGATGAACGCCCGGTGTCCGGCATAGGGGCAGCCTGGCCCCAGGCCATACAGCGCATACTCCGGCTGACTAACTAGCCAGGCCTCGATGGGGGCCTGCCCCGGGAGGGGCGGCGGGTCTGTATACGTGTGGGCCTGGTCCACGGCCTCCTGGATGAAGATCTGTCGGACCGGCGGCACAGGCGAGGGAGCCGGCGCACCGCCCGGCCAGCGGGCCGTGGAAAAAGTCCCTGCCAGGGTACGGTCATCGAGGGACAGGCGCAGATCATCGCCCGGCCCGGCCGCGTCCGGGCGGTCCCCAGCCCGGCAAGTGCGCCACAGGAGATCCAATCGGCAGTGGACGCGCCCCTCGATCAGCGAGCAATCCGGCCGGGCCTCGGCCCGGCTCAGTGCCGCAATCACCGCCGGGACGGTCAAGGTGGGCATCTGGCCGTGTGTCCGTAGGTTCGCGCGCTGGCGTGCACGTGCGCCGGGTATACAGCGGCCCGCAGGCAAGGTGGGTAAGGGGGGCGGGGGGAAGGTGGCGCGGGGGCCCGGCGGGGAAGGTTATCGGGGGTGGCGAGGGGTGTTCAGGTGGAATGATCGTCGGGCGGATGGGGCCCATCACCGAGGGGCCACCCTACGGCTTGGGGGCTTTTAGTGGTGCCCGCAAGCTGGGCCGCGAGAGTGGGCATCGGCATTGGCCTGAAACACCAGCTCACGTGGATTGGCCGTTTGGTGCATTCCCCTCCCCCGCCCCCCCCCCATACCACTGGGGATGGCCCGCAGCAAGAGGGGAGACCGGCCTTCATCGGCTTGGGGGCCGGCAAACAGGACCAGAATTTGTCTTCTTTTTTTTCTGACAAGCTTTGGTATATTTCATGAAAAGCCAGACCCCCCTCTGTGTCTGCCTGTCTTCCGAGGCGAGTGCAGTGCGCGGACAGGGGTGCATCGTATGCCGCTACACCGGCAGTGGCGAGAAGATGACAGGGCCGGGCGCGAATACAGGAGTTCCGCCACTGAAGGGAGAAAGAGAGAGAGAGGGGGGGGGCAGGATGCGAAAGAGAAGGAGGAAGGGAGGCACCCCGGACACATTTGGGGCCCGGGGGGCACATAAAGTACAAGGTGAACATCAGCCGGGGGGGGGGGGGGGGAGCCAAATCCCACTGGCTGGACAAGGGCAACCGCAGGGCGACCCCGCCGCCCCCTTTTTGCACTGGTGGATTTGGGGAGGAAGGGACAGGAACGCGAAGCACAGGGCAAATACGGAGGCGGCGACGGCTGTATGCGTGCGCGGGATGGAGAGGGGTCCTTGGCTGGATGCGCGAGTGGGAAGGTATCCGGCGGCAGGCATAGCACAGCTGGCGAGCACACAGGCACCGGCACACCCACGCCCACACGGACAGGCACAGCTGGCGCATGGAGTTCCGCCAGCACCGCCTAGAACAGAAGGCAGCGGGGCTTTTTCCGGCGGATGACATCAGTCACGTAGCGAGCGGCCGCGTGGAAGATCTCATCGACGCCCTTGTTCTCCTTGGCACTGCACTCGAAGAAGCCGGCGGCCCCGATCTTGTTGGCGACGGCCTTCGCTTCGCTGGTGGAGATGGGCTTCTGGTCGCGCGCGGCCAGGCTGGCCACGACCTCCGGGTTGTCCCGGAGGTCGGCCTTCGACAGGACCAGGAAGTAGCCCACGCCGTTGCAGAAGTGCACGACCTCCGGGTGCCACTGCGGGCGGTGAGGCGAAGAGGGGAGGGAGGGGGGGGGGGGAGGGGCGGATTGGCGGAGCAGGGAGCGGCGGCTCGGTCAGCAGGGGTACCCGGCAAAGGAGGCTGGCCATAGGTCAAGAGGTCCGGGGAGGAGCCTCCACATGTAGGCCACGCGGGGGCACAGCAAACGCCGCGCACCTTGTCCACGACGTTGGCCAGGGAGTCAGGCTCATCGACCGAAGCGCAGATGAGCACGATATCCGTCGAGGGGTAGGACAGCGGGCGCAGGCGGTCGTACTCCTCCTGGCCGGCAGTATCCCACATGGACATCTGGACGACACGGTCTTCCAGATGCACCGTGGCAACCCAGCTGTCGAAGACGGTCGGCACGTAGTCCTGTATGGGGAGGGATATATATATATATATATGTGTGTGTGTGTGTGTGTGTGTGTGCGCGCGTGTGTGAGCGTGCGGATGTGCGTGGGCATGGATGTGGAAGTGGACGAGGAGAAGGTCGGCCGAGAGACGGCGCAAGGCGGCGACGCACCTCCGGGAAGGAGCGATGACAGAAGACCGTCAGGAGGCAAGTCTTACCACAGGCACCATCGCCGACAATGACCAACTTGTAGGTCGAGATGGAGGATGCCTTGGTCGTGGTGTCTGTCTCCATTTTCTTCAAAAGTAGTCGGGGAAGAGGAGGGGGGATGGGGGGGGGGGGGGGGGGGGGGGGGGGGTGGGGGGGGGGGGGGGGGGGGGGGGGGGGGGGCAGAGAGAGAGGTATGGCA